TTCGAAGCAGAAAATACCTCCGCAAAAGAAGACGAAGACCAAAAAGGACGAATTGCTTTACTTAATAAGTCGTTTTCCCTTTCGAGAGATAATCTTTTGTTTGTTCTTTTTTTCGACGTCTGACATGGCTTTCAAAAAAGATTGAAACAGAACTTCAGACAGCACTCCAGCAGAAATGATCTTCACACAATAGGATACCGTCATTGAATATCTGTGAGGCACAAGAAGGGAATTAATTATAAAAATGAATTGTGAAGTTCAAATTGGAAGGCTTGCTTCAGTCAGCCATTCAATTTCTAAAACCGTGCATTTGAAATTTTTTTCTATTCATTTGGGTCGACCAAATGAATAGGGCAATTGTTTTCTAATGATGATACCTTTGAAGTCAGCAAAATACTGTAAAATTACTTTGAAGAAGAACGTTTAGGACCATCAGTTAATTTTGGGATGTCGAAGTTAACTCACAACTCATTCTCTGGAAATACGGACCAAAAGAAAGCCTTGCTGACCTTGAACTTATGGAAGAACTTGTCTTACGTGAAGAAAATACTGTAATGTCATTTTAATAATTAATAGACGTCGCATCCTGTTGACCACAATTTACCGTTCATTCCAGATGTATTTTCAACGCGAGGACTTTCGACGAAGAGACTGGAATTATCCTCGCGAAGTCTGGAGAAAAGATAAAAAATTCCTTTTCAACTACAGTACTTGACAATGATAAATAATGAACTGTTATGATTGAAAGTTAAGGTACTGTACATTACTTGGAAGCGCTCACTCCAAAGTTCGTTTTCAATGGACTGAAGGTATTTCATGCTTCAAAAACCTTTTTCGGTATTTCTGGTTCCCTAGCATAATGAATCAGGACATTATGAGTTTATTTTCTTCTCAACTTGAAAGGAAATTATTTTCACCTTTTTTTGCAAAGCAACTGGTACTAAAATAGACGTCTCGTGAATTGCAAATGCATTACTTTTTGCCTCAAAAATTACAACACGTCCTTCCAAGCTTTTCTTCACAAATTTCGCGTCGTCATCTTGAATTAATGTATTTATTTATAACTTCATAAGCAGCCACGGATCCCCATGAAAATTAATACGTTCCCTCAGGGCTTCACGGAGCACAGTCTGAGAACCACTGTAAAAGATCGTGGGACAAACTAGAATACTGAACTGCCTTCGCGAAGTACTGCACTCAATTCTTGGGAAAACGAAGCAAAAATTAAGAAAAGAAAGTTCTGAGCGAGGGTTTGGGTTCCTGGTGGTACAGAGCATCGCAGTCGTCTTCATACAGAGGGGAACTGGATTTATATTTACTGTACTTCAGAATATTTTGCACAAAAACGAGGCTCACCATAACTGCTCGGGTTCTCAGAAAGTCTTCTATCGTCGTCATTCGAGCTTAGGCGTCCATTACCATCGTCAATATCAGCATCAGAAAGATCTCCGCCAACTGACTGACATCCCTTTTCGATTCGAAGCACGTCCGTCACGGACATTTGCAAGTCCGTGAGCTAGGACAGTAGTTGGGAATAGCACGAGCGTAAGCCTTTAGCAACTCAGGTTGTGGTTTCGAGGTCAACTGCTCCAGACTACGTTCTACTCATTTCTTGAGAGAAATTTCAGTCTTCATTGCTCACAGGCTTCATTAACTGAGCTAATTTGTCCGAAGTTCACTTAATCAAACGGGCAGAAAAAAAGCAACTGCAGCTTAGATGGCTCACGACGTGGAAGAGTTGAACGGAATCATGTAACTGCAAAATCACAGTCTGAGTCATGAGGCATTGCTGAATATTTTTTTGCACTTTCTCAATCGGCTCCCCAGCATCATCATGAAACGAAACTATAGATTTGAAGGCGTTTAAACGAATTTTCATCGATTAATTCAGGTATGCACTGGCATGAAACTACACTTAAAAACTGAAAAGTATGTGGCTTTGACCACACCTGTACAATCTCTGTTGACAAACACATAGCATTTCGATTACAAGTTCAGTAAATTTTCAACAGAGTTTATAAGTGGTGCAATTACTGCGGTGTGAATATAATGGTTAATGGTTACCACATCACCACTTTCCTATGCCCAACATTCCACACCATTAGAATTTAACTATTGAATAAGGACTTAAGATCCTCACAACTTAATGAAAAGATATTTCCACTAATCTTAAGAGGGCCAGGATGAAGTGGTAAATTTGTATGAAGTTTCCTGAAAGTTTCTTCCCAATTCTTTTAATGAATTAAAAATTATCTGGGAACAGGCTGAACACGAGCACTAAATTAAACACGCGTTTTGAGTCTTAACAGAGTTAACACGACACTAAAAACAGTTTGAGTTTTTTTAATACCGTTAAACAAAAGTACGGAGAGGTTAAGAGGCATATGACACGTCATGATCGATGTATCTACTTTCAATGCCTATATATATGCATAATAAATTATTTTTACAGGCCAGAATGGACTGGAATGGATGGGCAAACATTTTGTGATTAACCTTTGAACGCTAACAAGCCGCACATACAGCTTTAATATCAATCAATCACATGCGATCACTCCCTCACATGAAAGGTGAAGTACAAATAATGTTTTCTGACTAAACACATTGATTTTCAAGCATATGTTGAATTTCGTTATCTTAAATTACTGTATAATGAAGCTTTACTTTCACACGCTGAATAATAACACTCAAGAGGCATTAAACTCTAAATTTGTTAGGAGAATAATATGGAAACGCTACTGACAGTACTCACTTTCGATACTGCTAAAAAGCTCCGCCCTTTTATTGCACCTAGCGTCATTGTGGAAGACTTGGTGCTAGGCCTGTGGTGTAGCAAAGTAGTTGACCTATAAGCGTGTGTCGCTAATGAAGTCATCTCTAATAAGATTCATCTGCTGAGGCCAGAGCAGGAAAGTGCTCGAATAAGACCCCAGTGTTGGACACCTAGAATGTTAAAGGCAGGGGAAGTAGAAGTTAAAGCACCGAGTAGTCGTTGCTTCTAGATAATAGGAATATGGAGCCCCGTCTTAAGTGTAGGTCTTTGAACGATCACTTTTGATGGGGGACAAGAAACACAATCAAGTATAGCATGGTTGCGGAAGATGCTCAGATAAGTAGCACCGACATCATCTGAGATCCTGAAGACAAAATGGGCGGACGAATGGGTTATTCGGAGCATTACAGGGGCTTCATTTCAGGATTATTAATACTAAAATCCTGAATGTTTTTTTTTTTAATCGAAAATGTACACCGGTACACGTGGAATCCTCGCGAAAACTTGTGGGGGCAAGAACGAATCGAGCTAACCATCGCACCACAAAAATATTGAAAGACGTTTCAGTATCATATGCAAGTCAAGTCCCATAAAACTGCGACAATAAGTCTACTGGTTATGTTCTCCATTTATCAATTTACCACTGTACTTCATGAACTAACAGCGCGCACTACAGAATGCAGATGATTCGGCAGTTGAAATTACGTGCTAAATCACTCCATTTGCTGCATTACGGAAATTTAAATATATGCTTCAAATCGAATCCACAAGATGCCTTCCCGAGAGAAAAAAGCAAACGAATTTCTAAAAAAATGTATGCGGCATATGCATCATCATTGAGCTTTCTCTATACAATTGAGTGAACATAGAACGATGTGCGTACGAAAGACTAGCTATCATCAAACTCTTCACCCTGAATTAAGATGAATCCAAGATATTTCGCCACTGCCGCTGCTCATCAGAAACTTTCAACACCAGCATCTCAGAAACACTGACAGTTTTTCACCACACGTTTCAAATGCAAACTTACGACGACACGACGATTGCAATAAGCTGATATTTTTCACGCCGGAATCACGTTTCCGTTTCTGGTGCACAATGGCGTGCAAGTGATGAACTGCAACTACTATACGGGTGGAATGACAAACTGTCCAGCCTGCCACAACATCCGCGAGGACAGGTTAGCCGGCGGGGTACTGGGTTAAAATGAAGAAAACCGCCCTTTTCTATTTCCATGAAGCCGTAGAATGAGTACGTAATACTGTACTTAACTTCCTAACCGTTCCTTACGTGAAGATACATAGCAGAAAAACGATGGAACACAAGACAAGTGGAATATAATCTTGCCTACTGATTATTCGTGATGTAATGTTAGCAGCATGCCTTTGTGAGAAACCATGCATACTGAGTGAAACATTAAGACATCTCATTGAAAAAAATTCACAGGCTTGTATCATCCAGAGGGACATCAAGACCAGATATTCATTGTTTGATTTGCAAACAACAACCTGATGCAGCTGTTGATGGTTAATGACACACAATTGATGATAATCATCCACCTTTACCAAGCCAGCATCCAGAAAACAGTCCGATCAGTTTATTCTCAGAAACATATACACTTTCTGAATTTTTATAAATACAACATCCATCAAAGCAAAGCGTCAATAATAATTATCAAATAATTAATAAATTCTTATTTTGTTGGCAATAACAAGACAATTTACCAAGTTTCGACCATTTATTTCATAGTATTTCATGCAAGAACTGCATGAATGTCAACATTATTCTCACTCTTCCATATGAGACCAATACGTATGCACCTGGACAGCATAGGCAGTCGAACAGTTTTATCTTCCTTTATCTTATGGGAACGAAGGAAAAGAAGGCGAGCAAACACGTCTAGCAAGATACGATTTTTTTCTCCGAAAGGATTATCTACACTCCCAATAATAGTGTAATGGAGAATTCATTTGACATTCGGTGGACAAATGGTTTTGGTCATCATTCATCAACATACCATTCCTGATTTCCCGTCTTGTGAGGACCCACGAAGTCCTCGGCAAGCCTTCTTCATAAAGCGTTTTTGTTCGCGGCTTTTGATGATTTTTATCCTGAGAATATCGTCGAATTTCGGAGAGACATTGACGGCTTGAATTAAATTAAATAATGCGTGGGGACGTTGGACACGAATCATGGCGAAGGTGAAGAAATAAATTTTACACAGTAGTCTATGAAAGCACTCGAGCTTTTTTTTCATCATCCCGAATTGTTGAGTACATCAGACGATATAAACCCGCCAAAATGTCAGAGACGGAATTATGTGTTCCCTGAATCACTATAGCTAGCTGGAACCCTCAAGTCGGCAATTTCGCGTCTAAAATATTTCAAGGAACGAATTTTAATCCTCACATCACCGCAATGAAAAAATATACAATATGTATGAAGACGGAGCAAAATTATGTCCCTGGTTGGTTGAATAAGGTCTTGTCCATTTTTTTCACTTCTTCAGGAAACAGGCTTATGTTTTTTAGGTTTCACAGAACCAAACGTATGAATCACTATTGAGCCCACATAAGTCATCATATTTCCGTGGCAACATGTTTGCTCAACATGCCCAACCGCCATCTATGACATGCGCCTGTCCAGTGGTATATTTTGACTGAGGAGAAGGTATGATATAATAATAATAAACTTCAAACTGTCACACAGTTCGACCTCCTTGAGTCAAAAATCTACCAAACTCCAATGCCCCATGAATCCATGGCCAATTCCCCGAAGAACAATGCATTTTGAGCGTTTCAAATTTGAAACTTACTTTCTTCCTGCTTTTCGCAAGGTATTTGTCAACTTCCTACAGGTAGGAACTCCTATAACAATGAAAATGTATCATGAAATTTGTTCCTTGAGTACTGTAATGTGCACAAACACCCCAACTTAAAAGCTAATCAAGTCAAATTGTTTCAGAGTTCCTCCGAATTTGTCCCAAGGAGGTTCAACTGTGAAATTTTGGTCTCACCTCATCAGAAGCTAGGTAAACACAAAGTGCTGCGATTTCTTCAGCCGTTCCTAGCCTTCCCATAGGCTGTCGTGCAATGAAATCTCTTAGTGCCTACAAGGAATCAAGGCAGATCAAAAAACCTGGAATTTGCAAGGGACTGGAATCTTCGTACCAATTAATTCTGTCCATAAATGACGAACAAGACTAACTTCTCTTTTGGGAGAATTCATATGGCAGATGTTGGAGTTGACTCCAGTTCATTCTTTCAAAGCCTCTTGAAATATTGTATATTCACAGTTCAGCAATTTAGAATCTCATACCGACAAATATTTTTGATCAAGAGTTACTTTTATTTCCCTGCAATGAAAGATCTAGAATGTTGAATCTCAGACTGAAACATTTCTGTCATAGTAAGAGATTTTCTAGTTGCCAATGTCTTTTTTTGTGATGAATGGCTACCACCTATTCAATTTTACAATAGAGATATAAATTGTAGTAAATTTATTTTGTTTGATTTTCCATTTCATTTTTCGATTGGAGTTTCAAGGTACTGTTCATAATTACATCAGCATAAATTGATTTTTGAGAAAACTCGTTTCTGAAGATTTAGCATTACGAGGGTTCTAACAAAAGTTCTCGGAGTAGCAATGAAAATGGCCTACAGTTGAGCTGAACAATTTTTTTTCTTCAGGAAAACATATTCTTTGGCACACAAAAATATCAGCCCTGTTTGACAAATTTTTTTGAATTTTTTCATAATTCACCCTGGCAGAATTTTGCTCTCTACTCAAAAGATGAGGCGTCCTTTTTTTGTTGGCGGAATTGCCTTGGAAGATCTGGAGGCAACCCTTGGCAAGAATGCCAAGTTGATTTCAAAAATTCTGAGGGGAAAGCTGGGCAACAACAAAAAAAGGACGCCTCATCTTTTGAGTGGATAGAAAAACTCTGCCAGGTTGAATTATGAAAAAATTCAAAAAAATTTGTCAAGCAGGGCAGATATTTTTTTGTGTGCCAAAGAATATGTTTTCCCTAAATAAAAAATTTTTTTCAGCTCAACTGTAGGCCATTTTCGTTGCTACTCCGAGAACTTTTGTTAGAACCCTCGTATTGTTGCTAACTTGCTACGCAAAACTTGACCTTCGATATTTCAATTTCGTCCGTTGTTCGCTGAGAAAGAAACCAGATAAGCTGACCTGTTCTGCATCCGCATTTGCATTGACCCTCTCTCTGAAACTTGGCGTGTCTACAGTTCCCGGACAAATGCAATTGCATCGAATTCCTTTGTCCACGAAATCAATCGCAATGGATTTGGTGAGACCGACAACCGCTGCTTTTGTAGTGGAATAAACGAACCTGGTTTTGACACCTTTCACACTGGAAGCCACTGATGACATGTTGATAATAGATCCTCCACCTTGCTCAACCATCTAAAAAAAAGCGAATGATTATGTATCTTGGATTCGTCATGCAGATTAGGTCAAACGCCGGGAAAACATTTATAATACCTTTGGAAGAAATGTCTTGCATGTCCTGAACATTCCTTTTACGTTCAAATCAAAACTGAAGTCAAGATCAGCCTCTGAGGAATCCAAGATTGTTCCATGATGAACAAACCTTTTCAACATTCGAACGTATGAGCACTTCATACGTAACGAAAATTATTAATTTTTGAAATCAATTATACCCGGCGCAGTTGAATAAGACGTCGGGGCCTCGAGGCAAAGAGACTGCAAATTCTTCCACAGCGTCTTTCGACAAAACGTCCAATTTTAAAATTTGTATGCCTGAAACTCATTTCAAAATTCTTTAGGGAGTTAAGTACACGTATAAGTGAAATCTCAGCATTTACCTTTGAATTCCTTCAATTCCTCCAGTAGGCTTAGATTTATGTCCGTTGCATAAACTGTTGCTCCCTCTTTCGCAAATCTGATGGCTGTGGCTCGACCGATTCCTTGGATAATATGCATTATTTACATATAGTTGTATAGTATATATACTTTTATACATGGGTCTTTTACCTTGAGCGGCAGCAGTTACAACGGCAATTTTACCCATCAGCCGAGGCATACCATTATTGCTGGCAATATCACCCTCCATTTTCTCTGCTGTAGCCAAATCGATACGTAAATTGCGCAGTACGAACACTGCGTATTGTGCAGCTTTAACCCAATGGTACAATTTGAATACAATAAAGTACAAAGCACAGTAGGACAGCATGTTGAAAATGCAAATAAACGGGCTTCTCATTCATATTCACGCAGAAATCGAGGAATTCAAATTACATTACGCAAAGGAGTACGTTCAGTACACACTATTCCCTGTACTTTATCCAGGGGAATCTTCCTCCGGATTCGAATCTCAGACGAACTGCCGTGTGCAAACTGAAGTACAGTATTGTTATGTGATTTCCTTCTATTCTCAAGAATTGTTTGAAAATTTGGATCATTCAAAAAATACACATCGAATGACTAAAGAAGGAACTGAAACAATAATAAGTTACTCATGCTGTCCATCGCTGAACAATAACGATTTTATCACATTCGTCCTGATGGTGAACATTATTTTCAACAAAAGATAATTCGGAGGAAAACGTGGAATTCGAAAAACGAAAGCCAATAAAGAACCTGCCACTCATCCGCTTTTTAAAGGCTTTCCTTCGATTTTCTCGTCGTTTCCCACTCAATTTTTCTTCAATGCAAATACATTTTGCCGATTGAGACGGCTGTGATTTATACAGAGTTTCTTTTGTTGACCAGAGAACAAATATGGCTTTTTCGCACAGTACACTTGATTAGGCATCTGCATTGGATATAGTGATGATGAACCCGACGGTCAATATAACAGAGTGCACAAAATGTATTCCATATTCAAATGAATTTGTTTTTCTTGAGAAAATTAGGACACCATCAGGATGATTAAAGGAGAGCTTCTGATATCCTGAATATGGCGCTGAAGATTGTGTCTCTATTCCTACATTGATTTTATACTGTACACTTGTACAGTACAGTACAGTACTGTACAAGTATATATTCAAAACATATAGGAATATTAATTTCATCAAGGAATTTAGAAAGGAATTTTTCTGGGGATGTGGAGCAGCAGATCAACCCTTCTAAAGGAATCAATTGTCATAGCTCAGCGGTCGGGTGCGTTTTTCTTTAAATTTTTGGATCTGATCGATTAGCTATTCCATTCATGCGTAGAAATCTACTGTACGTTACTCCGTGGAAGACAAGTTTGAATTCTCAATTTCCCGTCCAATAATATTGATCATGTCCCCTAAATAAACCGAGGAACCAGCACTGTATCACAAAGTTCGGCACCAGATCACTTTCCTGAATACTGTTCTGATGATCCAGGCAAAACACGACCTTAAACCGGATCCGCGCGCATTACAATAAGGAACATGAATGACTTCGCCTCCGTCGGCGTTCATCAGTGTACACATGCAATACCTTCCGAAGCACCAACACGCACATGTAAAACTGCTGGAATTCCACAAAGTACGTGTCAACGATTTTCATCGTCAAATTTTCCAAGCACGCTTTGGAGGCTGAATCTAGCATGCAACGCGAGCACGCACAAGAACTGAGGACTCCTCATGGATTGAACAGTGATGCCGGGAAGAAACGGCCGATACGGCTTAAAGGCAGCCATTCCAGCGCAGTTCAACGCACAGCAAACGTCAACACTCCAACCCCATTTGCAGTTCATTTCTGTTGCCTGAAATCCTGATAAACCCCAAAGAAATCTCTCTTATGTTCATCAATGATTGATAGAAAAAATATAATTTTCTAAACATGACTTCCAGCATTTTTGTTCAACAGAATGCACTTCTAATCCCAAAAACCGAAGGTGTGGATTTTCGTCCGTCCAGGGTTTGACTAGCGCCCAGAAGGAATGCGTTTGTATATAGTCGGAACAGCTGATGGGGCCAGACGGGCTCGTCACGGCATGAACCCGAAGGGCGAGGTCACGTTCAAAACACATTTTTCCGTGTCCCGAAAAAATGAGAAATGCAGTATCAGAGTACTCCGGATAATGAACGTCTCGTATGCTGGGTTTTTCCCGAATGCACATCAGCTGTGGAATATTTTGGTTTTTTTTTTATTTTTCTTTGGATATAATGAACCCCATTTCGAATAAATGACGGCTTCACAAGTGGATCTTCCTTTATTTTCATTGAATAAAAGTTGATCAGATAAATGTCGCTGAAACTATCTCTTTCTTGTATATTTCGCCATCAATGGTTTGAGAGAATTACGAAAGAGAAATTTGATGACCAACACTTTGAGAATATTTTAATGAATTAATTAAATAAAAGAATGTGAAAGTTCGTCGATGCTTTTCGAAACAAAGAATCGAACATGCAATTGTTTCGAATAAAAAAAAAGTAAAGTCGTCGAAAAATGGTGTTTAATTTTCCATTAGATCACAGCAACGGAACAATGTGCATGCAACACTTCATAGAATAGAATTCGGACTGTAATTTTTCTCCTCCAAAAAAAAAATCACGGTTCAAAGGTTGATTGAGGATGTTGATTAAGTACACATATTTGAATGAATTTCCGCATGAAAACTTCAGAATTTTTCAAAATCTTGGTCTGCAGCTGTAGAAGTGAATCTTTCCCCGGTTTTGCAAGAATTTCTTGGTCAGATTCTCCCTAAAAACTAAAACACCAGATTTGACTTAAGTCTCCGTTCTTTTGTCAAGTATCACCTTGCTCACCATTTAAATTTTTTATATTTATCTTTCCATTCAGCCCATACAAAACAATAGAAGAACTCGCTAAGGGCAGCATGTTTTCATATTGAAGCATTAATTAGGAATCTCACGCTTGAATTATTTTGTATATTTTATTGCACTTCAATTATCCGCAGATTCATGAAACTTGCAATGAGGTACGGCACTTGAACCTTATTTTCTCAAAGGAATGAGATCTTATCGCATTCCAAAAAAATGAAATATGGCCAGGAACACCGATAAAAATACTCCATTAGAATAAAGTGAAATAAAACCCACCCAAGACGGGAATGGAACGATTGACAAAACTGTTCGTTAACTAACCCTGTTGCCCTAATATTTCGCTTCGATTTCTGTGCAATAAAAAATGTATAAAGCAATTGGAATCGGCGAAAAATAGTTGAAATTAATTAAATGCGTGCTTTCAATAAATTAGACCTGAGAAAACTTCCAGCGTGAAATCAAATAGTCTGCTGCATCGTAGAATTATTCGATAACTCTTGTTCACGTCATACTATCATGTACAGAACATTTTAGACAAAAGCCAAAGCCTTTTCTTTTTTCTTAAGGAAATTCAATCGCTTCCGAAGAATTTCCAGCGTAAAATCCAGTGTTCTATGGATTCCAGCATGACCCCGCAAAAAAAAGAAGCTACGCATTTCTCCTCGGTCACGCGACACGAACACGTCAAAGCACAAATCAGTGCCTTCTTCGGGTCAATGAATGCTTTTTGTTGTTGTTTTATCCTTATTTTCATGAAATTCGATCGCTTTCCAACAACGCGGTCACGCAAATTATAGTTGGTTGACATCGACTCGTAGAATTATTAGACACTGAATCCATTTCAGGTTCATCGCCAAAATGCACCACGGTTGCCAATCGTTCGGATCTGAACGACGACGACGACATTCCGGCATCTTCCTCACACGTAATAATATCAATGGCATCGCTGTTCGCAGTTGCTGCTGGGAATCGGGCCTCGCCTTCGACGGGTTCGCACCCGGGTTCGATAAAAGCGGTCAGATGGGTCTGGTCCCCCTGTGGGAAGAACACAGCCGAGGTTTCGCTGGCGCGTTCGCTGTGGAAAACCCCGCTGTTCTGGTTAGCGTAGCCCGGGTTCGAAGGCGGCAGCAGCAACGCGTTGTTCTGCGGCTGGAAACTCATTCTGGCTGCTGATGGGACCTGTTAATTCAAGATACGGAGAAACACGAGTGCTTCAACGTCTTCGTACGAAGAAGAAGAGAAGAGTAAAGGGACGTGGGTTTGTTCAGTCGTATGGTTAAAAGGGCTCTTGATGACAGCACGTCTTTTACAGTACATTAGTACGATTTGAAAACTTGCCTCAAGTACAGAAAATAAAAGGCTGTAATACATTTGAATCAGCAGAGCGAGTTTCAGGGAGTTATTAAAATCACAATTGAAATAAAGTGAAGCTGCTACAGAGTGTCGATGGATTACACATGTTTATAGATCCGAGGGTTTATTTACATCTCGAAGAGACTTATTATGAATCTTGAAGGTATTTAAGATCTGAAAATCACATTTCGGCGACTCATTTCTCATGTCTCAATCCTTGATACAAGTAAAAATTCCTGAACAGAAAATACTTCGCATTCTTTGGTAAGGAATACCTCAGAATTCACCGAAAATACTAATGAATAGTCTAATACATAGTCTAAACACTGCTTTCGAATCATAAGCAATGAATCTAACTTCGCGAAACATCGAACGTTTACACAACCTAATTAGCGATGAAACAGCGCCGAACTTTTCGGATTTAAACATAAATCAACTTTTCTGATAATATTCCAGGCTAAAGAAGCAGGAAATGGTCGAAGTTTCTGCACTAATATCACTTTCAATGGACCAGAAATTTCTCTACAAAAAAATAAATGTTAAAATTATTATTTTCTTGCTGGAAACCTGGAATGAATCTTTAATTCAATTACTGTACAGTAGTTTTGGTTCCCTTCTCACGTTTTATCGTACCTTCCGTGGATATTTTGAAGAAACCCTCGCTAAAACAATTTTGAGCAAAGTTCATCCAATTTTCTTCTTCCGTCAGTTTTCGCTTTTAGTTGGCCAGAAATTCCAACGCAAAAAAGGAATGCGGGAAGAATCTGATTTTCTTCTGGAATGTTTTCTAAATTCAATTATTTTTGGTCTACATATACTTTTTTTCGTTGCTGCTGCGGATATTTTGAAGAAACCATTGCAAAAACAATGTAGAGATCAACAAGGAGGGAAGTTCCTTCATCCAAATGGAAATATTCTATTTCACTGCTGCGAAGTTGTTTTTGTGTGTGTACATTTTTAATAAGTCACAGGCTTTCGAATTACGTGTGCGTACTTGTTTCCACATGATCTACTTCAAATTTTCAAAAAATTGAATTCCAAAACCAGGAAAACTGTATTGTTGACAATCGACTGACCTGATGGAGGCGGCTGCTCGATTTGGCGGCGCGGCGCCGGTGTCTCGAGGACTGGCGTTCTTTCCTCAATCTGTCCATGTAGTGGGCACTGTGTGCAGACCAGTGGCCCTGTCGCCAATGTTCAAAAAGTAACAAAAGAATCCCTGCGAAATAAACCGAAAGCACCACAGCAACGTAGATCACAGCATTCCGTTTCCCATTTCTGTGCATTTCTTCGATCCACGGCGGCACGTGTTGTTGTGCTCGCAAATCCCGAGTCGCGGCTGTTGAAATATTGGCCATAGGGTCAAAGCCGAAGCTGTAATTCATGCTGATTGCATCCACTGATTCCATGTCCGAATAAGCGAGAGGAAAGTGCACAAAAAGGAAGGTCTCGTTCGCGAACACTTTGCGGGTGACGACGATGACCAACTTCAAAAGAACAGCGACGTCAGCGCTTTTCACCGGGGTTCTAACAATAAATTTCATGCAAGAAGAAGCGGATAGTGAATTTTTTCTATAAATTGTCGGAGCAGTTCATACATAGTGCTCTGATCGTTCCGTACGAAAACGCCGTTTAATTATAATTCTCATGCAACCAGTAGTTATGAAAAATAAACGTGAATATTGATCCTCATTGATCAAACTTCAGCAACGAAAAACGTCCTCCTCGTCAGTTTCGTCACGAACACAGTTCCAAGTTCCGCAAGATTAATATGTAAAATGAATTACAGAAGTCCATATAACAGCATAATATTCCATGTACGTCATTTGAAATTCTTTTCACAAATTCTGCCACATGAAATTCCGATTTGATGAGGTTCATTTACTCTACCGCGGGATTTTATTTTTATTCTAAAAATGAACAGAATTACTTTTTTCGGGGATTTAGCCGTTCCACTATCTGGGCTTGAATTTGCAGAAAAACATCATTTTAACAGCTTTATTAGGAATTAGGTAACAGAGCTTTTTTCATTGATCATCGCATTCATAAATGAATGCAATTTTTTGGCCCAAAGGTCAAAATTTTTGCGCATTTTGTCCTGAATTTGTAAAGTTAATTTCATAAAAAACCTCTGGAGACAATTTTGGATTAGATTTTCCCGACGCCTGAAGAATACCGTGCATTTTTTGTAAAGGTTCTTATTTTCCCTTTTCTTTTCAAGAATTGTTCTAGGAAATCTCAGAATTTAAGCCACCCAGCATGCTTCGAAAACACACCGAGATTATTTGACGATTATTTTTTGCTAATTTATTGATTTAGCGGCTAAGCTGGCCATCCTCAACTTCGGTTCGCAGAAATACTATTCGCCGAATCATCACCTGCTGTTACATTAAAAAGTTCAAGAACGAATATATGATTGATTGTCATTGCACGTATTCCTCAACTTATTCCCAACATGGACACAGTATATTTGCTGAGC